TAGGAATGCCATCCCTTTTGTATGTCTCTATTCAGCTTCATCCTCTTTTTACTTCTCTTTATTTAGTACATTGCTAATTAAGCCCAATTTTTCTTTCTTGGATGTACACCCTGGTATGATTTAAAAATAACCTTAATCTGGTATTTGTAATTCTAGTATTTACCTCTTCCCATAATTTCCAATATGATGTTACTGCATTCTTGGCTCAAGATGAGCTTCTGCAATGGTTTAAAACACCAGGAAAAAACTCCAGTGAGACCTCGTTCCTATTGAATTAATGATGGGACATGAGCAGAGCACAGCATATCCTCTAAACATCACAAAAAGCAGTTAATTAGTTAAGCTCTATAAAGCAAAACTAAACCTTTGGGCACGCAGACTGTTTGTTTTCCCTGCGTGGCCATCCCAAAACCAGGACATTATCTGTCACATCCAAATCCATACACCCCTCTAGCACACAGCCAGAACGCCCCTTCTCGGACTTCAATCCAAGAGAGAACGCGGGGTAAACACAAACTGCCCTCCTGCCACACAAGCCCCTGTGCAAACAGAAACCTCCTCTCATGCGCCAAGGGACAACAAACTGCTGGAGAAGCTAAAAAAGCAAATGCTTCTATTTACGCTGATAACGTCCCTCTGACTGTTTGTCTGAAAGCAGTAGCGGCCCTGTCCTCTTGTGCATAGGCTGATGTGGCCACCCCCTTGCACACAGCTTCTGCAATATCACAAAACACCCTGCTTCAGAAACAGCATGCACTCAGTTCCTTAGCTTCTCAGGCGCTGCACCAGAATACGCAATTGCTCTCCAACATTGGATAAATATGCAGAGCTCTGTCAAATTTTTCATTTTCACATACATTAATCATCCCCAATGCCCACCTCAGCTGTACAGATCTGTACTCTTTGTACAACTTTTATTCTCTCAAAGGTGTGTATTTTCATAATGATAGTGCTCATGTACCACTTAACAGTATATTTTCATTTGGCCCTAGCCACACTTCTGAACAGTAATTTATTACTGCTTGTCGCTAGCAGCTACTGAGAGTAATACATATACTGGGTTTATTTAGTATGTTTAGTATTTCTTGCTTGACTCTTCCTTACACAGACAATACCACCGAAGCCCAGAGATTCACAAATCAAAACAGCCAAGTTTCTGGCCTTCCAGTTGCGCTTGTTTTGCACTTCCCAGCTTTTTGTCTGCAAGACCTAGAAACTTTCATTTATTTGTTCTTTTTTAATGGAAGTGGAAAGCCTAGTGCAGTCTGCCTCCTCCGGGAGCTGCAAGTGTACAGTGAACACTTACATGGACGATGAAATCACAAGAAAAGCACGTGGGGATGTCTCAGGGGCCTGCCCATGCTGGCTTTATTGCTTAACGACGTGATTCAAAACCCATATACCAGGCCCCCACCACCCCAGAGGCAACATGTGTCAGGGATGTGCATGTTATACGAGGGCAACCAGGTCCCAGCTTGCTGGACCCGATACCTGCACAATGTTTGCCATTTTGCTGGGCAATGCCACCCGCTGGGAATGGCAGCACTGACTGTGTGCTGCTGAAGTGAGAGGACGGCCATCGAGAGGCCTCGTGCAAACACCGGCAGGGTGACAGGCAGGGTTTGTGCTGCAAATTAACTGCAGAGCTCTCTACCTGCAAAGCACCATGGGTTGCTGCTGCACTTTAATCCTGCTGGGGTGCACGGGGGCACAGTGGAGATTTTAACCAGCGATGTTAAAACCAACGTGTTCTGTCAGTGCTACCTGTCAACCACAAGCCAGAACAAAACCAAGAGAAACTCTTTTGCAAGGAGTTCCAGGAAATCTGGAGGCCTGCAGGGGACAAAAGCTCCCCCTGTTAATTCCCATTACAAAGAAAAATAGAAAATAAATAAAGGGAAGAAAAGCATCATTTTATTATTTGCAAGCTTAATTTTTTACCTCAGACTTGGTAAACAAGTGTTTTGTCTTTGCCCCTGCTCGTCGGTAGATTGTAAGCTCTGCGAGAGGATTTTCCAAGATGAAACTCCAGTGAGTGTTTCTGCGAAAAATTAATTGTCCTTATTGCACCACCTTTCACTGCAATGAGGTATTGCCTCACCTACACCTCATTTTTCACGTGTGTAGTTAAGCTGGGTTTCCTGTCACTGAAGAGGTCCAAGAAAAACCTGTGACGGGGCCTGCGGGTGCCGGGCCTGCGTGCACCACACGCGGGTCGGCCCACCGCGTCCCCGCTGGGGCCTGGTGA